AATTAAAAATGGGATGTGCGTTTTGGTGTGGTTTAGGTGTCCTCCTGGAGCATTTTTGATGCGTTTCCTGTTTAAATTCCCCCCCCCTCTCCTTTTCTTCAACTTATATAAGGACATGTGCGTGCTTTGGTGTGTGCGTTGCCAGTGTGTTTTTTAATGCGTTACTACATTCAATTATATCTCCTTATGTCTTCAACTTATTTAAGGATGTGCGTTTTTTGTGCGTTTAGGTGCATTCTGGTGCATTTTATGCCTGCATTTCGGTTCATTTTTTTTCTTCAACTTAAAAAAAGGACATGTGCGTTTTGGTATGTGTTTAGGTGCGTTCCCCGGTGCTTTTTTGATGTTTCAGTTTCATTTTTTTTCTTCAACTTAAAAAAGGATGTGCGTTTAGGTGTGGTTTAGGTGCGTTGGCGGTGCATTTTTGATGCGTTTCCGTTATATTTTTTTTCACCTTTTTCTTCACTTATATAAGGACATGTGCGTGTTTGGTGCGTTTAGGTGCATTCTGGTGCATTTTTGGTGCGTTTCAGCTCATTTTTTTTTCTTCAACTTAAAAAAAGGATGTGCGTTTTTTGGTACGTTTAGGTGCGTTCCAGTGCATTTTTTTGATGCATTTCTGTTCATTTCTTTTTCCTTTTTCTTCATCTTAAATAAGGACACGTGCGTTGCGGTGCATTTTGGTGCATTCCGGTGCTTTTTTTTGATGTTGCAGTTCATTTTTTTCTTCAACTTAAAAAGTGATGTCCTTTTTGGTGCGTTTAGGTGAAATCATGTAGAGTTGGTGCATTTTTGATGCGTTTCGGTTTCATTTTTTTTTCTTCATCTTAATAATGGACATGTGCTTTTTGGCGTGTTTAGGTGCGTTCCGGTGCGTTTTTGATGCGTTTCCATTCTTCAACTTATATAAGGACATGTGAGTTTTTGGTGTGTTTAGGCGCATTTTTTTGATGCGTTTTACTGCGTTCCGGTACAGTTTGGTGCAGAGAAAAATGCAGCATGTTCTACCTTTTTTTTTTCTGACCGCACTGGTGTGAACTAAGCCATTGGTACAGCCATGTATCCTACTATCAATGCGTTTTTGATGCAGAAAAAAAAAAACGCACTGGACTGCATGTGGTGTGAACCGGTCCTCAAAGAGAATGGCCGCCTGAAAACGTTAACACCGACATGATGCCTGTAGCTGCAGGACATCTATGGACAGGGGCGGACTGACAACTCATGGGGCCCCCAGGCAATAGGGATCATGGGGCCCCTGTGTCCTTGCCCCAAACTCAAAAAAGCCTATGAAAAAGGTACCAGGGGCATCTCATGGGGCCCCCTACTGACCCCGGGCCCTCGGGCAGTGCCCGAGTTTCCAAATGGTCAGTCCAAACCCGTGTACTAGGGATGTCCTTGGGCAGGAAGAAGTTAAACTGGTTGAAAAGAGGGGGGAGGGGGCTGTAAAACCCTGTGGTTGAGCCACATTTTTCACCCCCCAATCTCCTCAATAGCTGCAGGGGCAGCAGACAGAGGATTACACATGCGTGTGGATGAGATGTATTGCCCCCGTTGCTCTCTGTGAGCAAGAGAATGGGACCGCACTGCAACTGCGCACATTGCACACGGCTGCGGCGTGGTGGTCCATCATTCGTATCACACGGGCCTCACTTTTTTTTTTCAAAGTCCTGCTTGATGCAGGTTTGGTGCTGTAAAAAAAAAAAAAGAAACCTGCACCAAAAACGCACCTCCCCATTGGAATCAATGGAAAATGTATCAAAATTGCATGCGGTTTTTTTTTGTCACATGTCCTTTAACTCCTCACCTACGCCTCTACCCCCCTTCCTGCCTACCGGGAACTTCTACCCCCTTCCTGTTCGGGGACTTCTACCCCCTTTTGCCTACCGGGGACTTCCTCTAGACGCTATCACCCTTCCTGACAGGCCAATCTCCGCTTTCAGCGCTGTCACTTTGAAACAATTGTCATGCAACACCACCCATATGAAATTTTTATAATTTTTTGAGACAGATAAGCTTTATCCTTTGGTGGTATTTAATCACCTCGGGGGTTTTTATTTTTTCTTAAACAAACCAAAAACAACTGAAAATTTTTGAAAAAAAATGTTTTTTTCTTAGTTTTTGTTATAAAATTTGTAAATAAGTGATTTTTCTCCTTCACTGATGTGCGCTAATGAGGCTGCAGTGATGGGCAACTGATAGGCTGCACTGATACATGGAACTTAAATATGCACTGATAGGCGGCACTGATAGGCAGCACTGATAGGCGCACTGATGGACACTGATGAGGAAGCACTGGTAGGGGCACTGATGGGCATTGATAGGAAGCACTGGGGCCCCTGTGTGGCCTGATTGGCATTGAAGGCGGCACTGACTGGCACTGATTGGCAGCACTGATAGGTGGCACTGACTGGCACTGATTGGGCACTGATAGGTGGCACTGATGGGCATTGACAGGCATCACTGATGGGCACTGATAGGTGGCACTGATGAGCACTGATGAGGAGGCACTGGTAGGTGGCACTGATGGGCATTGACAGGCATCACTAATGGGCACTGAAAGGCAGCATTCATATAGGGCACTGATACATGGCACTGATATATGGCACTGATTGGCAGCACTGATAGGTGGCACTGATTGGCCTTGATAGGTGGCACTGACTGGCACTGATTGGCAGCACTGATAGGTGGCACTGATGGGCACTGATGAGGAGGCACTGGTAGGTGGCACTGATGGGCATTGAAAGGCATCACTGATGGGCACTGAAAGGCAGCACTCATATAGGGCACTGATACATGGCATGATAGGGCACTGATTGGCAGCACTGATATGTGGCACTGATTGCAGCACTGATAGGTGGCACTGACTGGCACTGATGGTTGACACTGAAAGGCAGCTCAGATGGACACTGACAGGTGGCACTGCTGGGGCTACACTAATGATCAGTGTATATGTCCCCTCTGAGTAAAGCCGATTACCGGCTCTCCTGTCCTCTCCTCTGTCAGCGTGACAGCTCATGAGGAGAGAAATGCCGATAACCGGCATTTCCCTAATTACATGTGATCAGCTGTGATTGGACACAGCTGATCACATGGCCGAGCCGACATCTTCAGCCTCTTTCCATCATCGGTGACCCGCTGTGTCTGAGGGACACGGCACACCGGCGATCGCCGCGCTGTGTGCTCCCGGAGCCGTGCATGACGCGGAGAGAATGGGAGGACGTCATATGACGTCCTCCCAGAACGAGAGAACCGCCTTGCGGGCGGGAGGTGGTTAAAAAACACACCACGTTATCTGATTGCCTCTCGGGGGATCAGAAAATTTTTTTTCCCCTGCAGGAGCAGATTGGATCGTTCTTTGCTGGGTTTTTTGTCTTCCTCTGGATCACTGTGGGTGTAGGATTATAACTTTTTTTTTAAAAAAAAAAAAGGTCAGGCACTGATGTCGGGGGAGGAGGCCTGGCTCGCAGTCTCCGCTCTAATTCATCCCAAAGGTGTTCTATGGGGTTGAGGTCAGGACTCTGTGCAGGACAGTCAAGTTCCTCCACCCCAAACTGGCTCCTCCATGTCTTTATGGACCGTTGCTTTGTGCACTGGTGGGCAGTCATGTTGGAACAGGAAGGGGCCATCCCCAAACTCTTCCCACAAAGTTGGGGGCATGAAATTGTCCAAAATAAAGAGTTCCCTTCCCTGGAACTAGGGGGCCAAGCCCACCCCTGAAAAACAACCCCACACTATAATCCCCCCTCCACCAAACTTTACACTTGGCACAATGCAGTCCGGCAAGTACCGTTCTCCTGGCAACCGCCAAACCCAGACACGTCCATGGATTGTATTATATGTATTCTTCTGGAATCTCGGTACGCTTTGTGTATTTCTTCCAGTTTTGTGCAGTCATTTATTTATTTTATTTTTATTTATTTCAGGTACTTATATAGCGCTTTACATATATATTGTACATTCACATCAGTCCCCGCCCCCGAGGAGCGTACAATCTAAGGTCCCTAACTCACATTCATACATACACATACTAAGGACAATTTAGACAGGAGCCAATTAATCCAATGTGAGACTTCTTGTCAGGGGCGGACTGACAACTCATGGGGCCCCCCGGGCAATAGGGGATCATGGGGCCCCTGTGTCCTTGCCCAAACTCAAAAAAAGCCTATGAAAAAGGTACCAGGGGCATCTCATGGGCCCCCTACTGACCCCGGGCCCTCGGGCAGTGCCTGAGTTTCCAAATGGTCTGTCCGCCCCTGGATCCTGTAATAAAGACCACTCGCTACTGCTCTCCCTCCTTGTGCAGGATGACTGGTCTGGTCTCCGCCCCTCTCCTGTACTTTGCTGTAGTGGGTGAACCTACTAGGCCCCTCCCACAGCTCTGCTCTCTGCATAGGCCGTGTATAGCACACTGATGATGTCACAGCGACTTCTACAAAGTTTGTAAAGGCATTTGGTTCACACAAAGTGAATTTATGTCCTCTGTGGCTATTGGGAAATGTATGCAAATAAAAAAATGATGTCTGGAATTTACCTTTAAGAGTCCTTGTCATGATTTTGGTCATTTGTACAGATATTTATTATCTTGTATAAAAGGTGGTGATGACCAGAGGTGTCCCTAGGGTTGGTGTCACCCGGTGCAGTAACACTTGGTGACACCCCCTCCGATGATCCCCACAGAATGGATCGGATCTGAGGATTGAGCATAATGGACTGGACTCCGATCCATTATACTCAATCTGCAGATCCGATCCATCCTGTGGGGATCGTCGGCTTTCTTTACAACTTACCTTTTCTCAAAGCGGGTCCGGTGTCACCCCATATAGGTTGCATGCCGACGATCCCCGCGGGATGGATCGGACCTGTGGATCGGGGAGCATAATGGAGTGGACTCCGATCCATTATGCTGAATCCGCAGATCCGATCCATCCTGCGGGGATCGTCGGCTTTCTTTACAACTTACCTTTTCTTGCAGCGGGTCCGGTGTCACCCCGTATAGGTTGCATGCCGACGATCCCCGCAGGATGGATCAGATCTGAGGATTGAACATAATGGATCGAAGTCCAATCCATTATCCTCCCCAATCCGCACATCCGATCCATCCTGCGGGGATCATCGGCATGCAACCTATACGGGGTGACACCGGACCCGCTGCGAGAAAAGGTAAGTTGTAAAGAAAGCCGACGATCCCCGCAGGATGGATCGGATCTGCGGATCGGGGAACATAATGGATTGGACTCCGATCCATTATGCTCAATCCTCAGATCCGATCCATCCTGTGGGGATCGTCGGCATGCAACCTATACTGGGTGACACCGGACCCGCTGCGAGAAAAGGTAAGTTGTAAAGAAAGCCGACGATCCCCGCAGGATGGATCGGATCTGCGGATTGGGGAGCATAATGGATTGGACTCCGATCCATTATGCTCAATCCGCAGATCCGATCCATCCTGCGGGGATCGTCGGCTTTCTTTACAACTTTCCTTTTCTCGGAGCGGGTCCGGTGTCACCCTGTGCGGTCGGTGTCACCCCCCGCACCTGCCTCGGGACGCCACTGGTGATAACAAAGGACTCATTATGTGTTGTCATCTTTTTTCCTGATTTGTCGTACAAATTCAGCACCCTCTATGAAAAAAAAAATGTCATTGGTCTCCAGTAAATTTACATCATATACAAAAGTGCAGTTGGATAAAATAATATTTTGATTTGTATTTGTCGAGAGAAATTTCAGTCTCCAAAAAATACTCTTAGAAAACAATCTCTGGGTTATTTATTGAAAACCATCACATGAAAGCACAAGTTTACTCTTCAACCAGAAACCGCATTAACAAAATAAATAAATAACGCACTATTTATATATTTCATATTATTTTTACATTTTTTTTGTCTTTCCCACTTCAGGGCAAATCTCAGGGGAGGTAGAGATGAGAGGCCGAATGCAGATTTGCAACCCATGAGAAGAGGTCACTGGTTGAGCCTGATGGCATGGGTTAAGCTGGCCGTAATTGGATCAAACTTCAGCAGGTCTGCAGATTTGCAACCCATGAGAAGAGGTCACTGGTTGAGCCTGATGGCATGGGTTAAGCTGGCCTAGTTGCATCAAACTTCAGCAGGTTCAGCAGATTTGCAACCCATGAGAAGAGGTCATTGGTTGAGCCTGATGGCATGGGTTAAGCTGGCCATAGTTGGATCGAACTTCAGCAGGGGTTCTGCAGGTCGTTGGTTAATTTGCAACCCATGAGAAGAGGTCAGCAGAATTGGTTGAGCCTGATGGCATGGGTTAAGCTGGCCATAGTTGGATCGAACTTCAGCAGGTTCAGCAGATTTGCAACCCATGAGAAGAGGTCATTGGTTGAGCCTGATGGCATGGGTTAAGCTGGCCATAGTTGGATCGAACTTTAGCAGGTTCAGCAGATTTGCAACCCATGAGAAGAGGTCATTGGTTGAGCCTGATGGCATGGGTTAAGCTGGCCATAGTTGGATCAAACTTAGCAGGTTCAGCAGAATTGCAACCCATGAGAAGAGGTCATTGGTTGAGCCTGATGGCATGGGTTCTTTCGATGGCCATAGTTGGATTGAACTTTAGCATGGGGAAGTTCAGCAGATTTGCAACCCATGAGAAGAGGTCATTAGCTGAGCCTGATAGCATGGGTTAAGCTGGCCATAGTTGGATCAAACTTCAGCAGATTCAGCAGATTTGCAACCCATGAGAAGAAGTCACTGGTTGAGCCTGATGGCATGGGTTAAGCTGGCCATAAAGTTGGATCGAACTTCAGCAGGTTCTGCCTTACCCTTTTTGCAACCCATGAGAAGAGGTCACTGGTTGAGCCTGATGGCATGGGTTATAGCTGGTCAGTACTAAGAGCTTGCTGAGAACTTTCTAGCCCAAAACTTTGGATCCCGAATTAGAACTTTGAAAAGAAGGAAATTATTCCTTTCAGGCTCCTGCAGAATTTGCCCAATGCCCTAAGAGAAGAGGTCATTGGTTGAGCCTGATGGCATGGGTTAAGCTAAAAGGCCATAGACGTATTGGATCGAACTTTAGCATGCCAACAGTTCAGCAGAATTGCAACCCATGAGAACATTTGAGTCATTGGTTGAGCCTGAGTGCATATGGGTTTGATCGCGCCTTGCAGAGCCGCGCAAAGCCGCGCAGGGGTCATCTTTGGGGGATATCGGACACGGCCGATACAGATCCTGACGGCCATTTGGGGGACCTATCTGTGACCAATCACAGCAGGTTCTGTATACATTTGGGGGTATATATCTGCCTACTGTCACTGACATTTGGGGGATAGCTCTGAATGAATCGATGTGTTCTGTTTATAGCATTATGCAAATTGTGGGATATCTGTACTGTAACTGACATTTGGGGGGAAAAAAATTTAATAAATAAAATTTAAAATTTAAAAAAAAAAAAATAAAAAATATATATATATTTTTTTACACTGTCACCATTCTGTGTCCCTGATCACCACCATGCCAGTTATATGATATCTGTACTGTCTCTTATGAAGTACGTCGACGTGTCTACTCCTGCAAAAACGTCGGACAATTTGTCTGTACTGTTCTGACATTTGGGGGATATCTGTACTGTCCTGACATTTGGGGGATATCTGTACTGTTCTGACATTTGGGGGATATCTGTACTGTTCTGACATTTGGGGATATCTGTACTGTCCTGACATTTGGGGATATCTGATGTTCTGACATTTGGGGGATATCTGTACTGTCCTGACATTTGGGGGATATCTGTACTGTTCTGACATTTGGGGGATATCTGTACCGTGCTGACATTTGGGGGATATCTGTACTGTTCTGACATTTGGGGGATATCTGTACTGTTCTGACATTTGGGGGATATCTGTACCGTGCTGACATTTGGGGGATATCTGTACCTGTGCTGACATTTGGGGGATATCTGTACTGTGCTGACATTTGGGGGATATCTGTACTGTCCTGACATTTGGGGGATATCTGTACTGTCCTGACATTTGGGGGATATCTGTACTGTGCTGACATTTGGGGGATATCTGTACTATTCTGACATTCTTGGACCTCAAGAAATTAGATTGGCTGTCAGTACTTCAGGATTGATCAATATTCAGATCTATACCATAGTTTGTGAACTCTATAACTTTCCTACAAACTAAATAATACATCCTAATTTGGGTTATTGTCACCAAAGACATGTAGCAGAATACATCTCGGCCTAAATTTATGAAGAACAATTATTTATTTGCAAACTTTTATAACAGAAACAAAGAAAAACGTGTTTTTTTTTCAAAATGTTAGGTCTTTTTTGTTAATTTAGCAAAAAATTAAATCCCCGGCGATGATTAAATACCACCAAAAGAAAGCTCTAGTTGTGTGAAGAAAATGATAAAAATTTTAGTTTGGGTACAATGTTGTATGACCGCGCAATTGTCATTCAAAGTGTGAGAGCGCTGAAACGTGAAAAATGGCCTGGGCAGGAAGGGGTAAAATTGCCCGGTATTGAATTGGTTAAAGTGCATCATTGTAACATTTTGGATCTACTGAGGTCCCAAAATGTTACAATGATGCACTTTAAAATGGAACTCAAATTGCCTTTTTGAAGTTCACCCTTGTGGTTTGCTGGCTTCCTTTGTGAATGAGCTATAATATGGTATCACTGTTGGCCATGCATACCCTAAGGGGCTAGGATGGTATCGTACTGGATGGATTGGACCAGATCCAGTGCCCCATATCTTTTTTCTACTTGCCTATCCATGCAGTTCTTTGGCGCTCCATGGTAATCTGCAACCACATTGGATAATAATACACTAAGCTGGAAATTCTGTGGCTCCAAACTCTGAGAAAAGTCCGTAGCTCAGCAACTAAGTTACAAATGGCTTGGAATTTCTCCTACCAACAAAGAGCAAAGGCCATTAACACATGGAAATGTACATTACTGCATTGCTATTCATGCTAAATGTACCCAACACACAAATACAGTAGGGGCTGATGGATATGAGTATGAGTTGCAACATTTTGTTGCAGGTCCAGTTTTTTTTTGGGTTGTGGCACATTGGCAGTCTATTTGAAATTAATGGGTTGCCCCGATACAATGCAGGTTAATACAGGACACAACCCATATTAACACATGTGCATTAATGGAAGGCATGAAAATGCTAAAGTGTGAAGGGACCCTCGGTAGACCAATTCTGAAGCTACTCCAAAAATAGCCAGTGTGACGTGGGCCTAATGAAAGGGTGTCTTGACTGCAGGAAACATGGCACAATGATAGGTGATCCCTACTAACCACTCTCCTTTAAACTGTCCACCAATATGGCCACCATTGCCTGTACGGCATCTGGGTGGAAATCAAGATGTACCTACTTTAAAATAACCAGTGGGCTATTACCTGGGCTATGGCCATACCTTTGGGATAGGGATGGGTTCCTGTTAGTTACGGGGGCTAAGGCCACACCTTTGGGATAGGGATGGGCTAGTTACCGGGGCTAAGGCCACACCTTTGGGATAGGGATGGGTGGTTGTTTTGTGCCCATGCTTCTTTGTAGAAATGAGTGAAATGGAAATTTTGCCATTTTGGCAAAATGCATTGGCACCATCGGCAAAATGAAGGCAGCTTTTAGTCCCATAAGTTTCTTGGCCTGGCCTTCCCACAGAAGATAGTTCCTGTGACGATTTTTTGGGCTAGGGCAATACCTTTTGAAAGGGCTTTGTGCCTTCTTGGTAGGGATGAGCGAAATGGAGATTTTGATGGCAAAAATGCCTTGGTGTCAACGGTGAAATGAAGTTAGCTTTTGGAAGTTTAAATCTTTATGGTTTAAATGGCTTCCAAGGTCTATAGAAGTTCCTTTCCCCTAGCCTGGACCTGTTCTTGTGCCATAGAAATAAAGACATGTTTGATGTCCATCCTGAGTCACAAATATGGCTCCCTCCATAGATATAGGGTAGGAGTGAATGTAGACTCGAAGGGCAATAAGTGTTATTTGTAGGATTATCTAAAACTGAAACTACAAGGTAAAAAAAGGCTGAAAAAAATGGGGGCTACAGTCTGACCACCGCTGGTGGCCATCCTGAACAGTATCTGGTCAGTGTTTACCTTCATTTTTATCTCTACCATTCATTGTTGTGTTACCTTTTGATACAATAAACTCAGTGTCTACGGTATCATGCTATGTGGTGTCCCTTGTTGGGCTCTCTTCATTGAGAGTCCCCACTTGCAGAACCTGTTCAAAGGGACCCCAGATGGTGACACGTTTGAGACACGTTTGAGACTTGGAGTACCTACCCTGAGTTTCGATTGGAAGGTGTATGACTCCTTGGCAGTAGATGACCGCTACCTGATGTAACAGGATAATTTCACATGCGTATTTTTGACGCACTTCTGGTGAGTGCGCACTTTTTTACCCTAGATTCACCGTGTGGTACACTGGAACCCTGCCCCACGCACTCATTAGGATCTACCTGATCCCCACGTGGGCCCTCATTTATCTTGGGACTTTTTATTCACTCAAGTTTACCTCAGTGTGATCCGATGCTCTGCACTTTATTTTATGCTATAATATGCTGTTCTTATTTATGTTATTTTGCACCTTTATATGTATATGAAAAAAAACTAACACAGCCACCACATCTAAGACCTGGTAAGCTGAAATACATTATATTTTTGTTTTTAGGTTTAGGACACACTTTAATTTTACCCTAATGACTCCACTCATCCCTACCAGGGGCGGATTGACAACTCATGGGGCCCCCGGGCAATAGGGGATCATGGGTCCCCTGTGTCCTTGCCCAAACTCAAAAAAGCCTATGAAAAAGGTACCAGGGGCATCTCATGGGGCCCCCGGGCAATAGGGGATCATGGGGCCCCTGTGCCCTTGCCCAAACTCAAAAAAGCCTATGAAAAAAGGTACCAGGGGCATCTCATGGGGCCCCCGGGCAATAGGGGATCATGGGGCCCCTGTGTCCTTGCCCAAACTCAAAAAAGCCTATGAAAAAGGTACCATGGGCATCTCATGGGGCCCCCGGGCAATAGGGGATCATGGGGCCCCTGTGTCCTTGCCCAAACTCAAAAAAGCCTATGAAAAAGGTACCAGGGGCATCTCATGGGGCCCCCTACTGACCCCCGGGCCCTCGGGCAATGCCGAGTTTCCAAATGGTCAGTCCGCCCCTGATCCCTACTCAGCAGTCATGACCATTCTTAGTGCTGACAGTTTGATACACAAGGCACCGTTATATCCTCCATGTGGTCAGACTTTGACCTGGGCTCCATGTTGAGATGTTTGGTGGTTCTTGAGACCAGCATGCTCAGGGAACCGCTCTCCCACAGTCACTGCTGACAGTTTGATACATAAGGCACCGTTATATCCTCCATGTGGTCAGACTTTGACCTGGGCTCCATGTTGAGATGTTTGGTGGTTCTTGAGACCAGCATGCTCAGGGAACCGCTCTCCACAGTCACTGCTGACAGTTTGATACATAAGGCACCGTTATATCCTCCATGTGGTCAGACTTTGACCTGGGCTCCATGTTGAGATGTTTGGTGGTTCTTGAGACCAGCATGCTCAGGGAACCGCTCTCCACAGTCACTGCATACATAAAGAACCTCCTCCACATGGATCTTCTGATGGATAATCAAGTAGGACTTACGGGTATAACGCTTGCCACACTGCTGGCACTCAAATGGCCGCTCCCCCGTGTGTATCCGTTTGTGGAGCACCAACTGTAGCTTACGAGTGAATCCCCTCCCACACTCCACGCACACAAAAGGCTTTTCGGCCAAATGAGTCTTCTGGTGGCTGGCAAATGTGAGCCGGTTGCTTAGACTTTTCCCACACTGGTTACAGATATAAATGGTGCTTTCCGTGTGGAGTTTATGGTGGGCCACCAGGTTGGAGTTGCTACTAAACCTTTTGCCGCACTGGTTACAACAATAAGGCCTCTCTCTCGGTATGAGTTCTCTGGTGAATGACGAAATGGGACCGGTCACTGAAACATTTACCGCACTCCTGGCAGGAATAGGGCTTGTGACCTGTGTGTGTCCTCTGGTGTAGCACGAGGTGTGAGCTTTGGATGAAGTTCTTCCCACAGTCTAAACATGCATAGGGTCTCTCTCCACTATGGATCCTTTGGTGAGTAGCCAAAGTCGAACTCCGAGTAAAGCACTTGCCACAGTCGGGACATGGATATGGTTTCTCACCGGTGTGGGTTCTTTGATGTGTTGCGAGAGTGGAACTGTGCGTAAAACACTTACCGCAGTCCAGACACACGTACTGCCGGTGACCCGACCAGGCTCTGTACTTCATCCTCCTACCAGCTCTGTTAGTGCCATAGTTATACCTTGATGGCAAAATGTTATCAGCGATGTAAGTTCCATTTCCTACATCGGTGTTCACTAGTGTGAGTTGATACCAACCTTTCCCCTTGTTCTTGTAATGGGGTAACAGAACTGCCCTTCTCAACCTGAAGGTGGCTCTTCAACGCATCCAGTACATTTGTTCCCCAGTCACCAGTACTGAGCCCGTGTTTATCAGCAGGGTAACACCAATCCTCCTCCATAATCTGGAATAATCTGGAACGCTCATGAAGTATTCTGTCTTGCTTGTTCGACCTATCAGAAGACATATATTGTTTTTAATATTTTGGCAAGATGTCACAAGTCAAAAGAGATCTACCAGTTTTTGGTGTTTTTTTTTTGCTAACAGAGCCTTAACCATTCCCTAGTCCCTCCATCTGAAAAGAAAAGGTTTTGGCTTACAAAGACTTTGGGGTCCATTTATTTAAAAATTGATTTGCAAAAGCCTAAGCATTCACAGAGCCATCGCAAATAATCCCCTTAATGTGTCTGCTATGTGTATTTCCTATGATCATCAGCTCCATCTAGGGCCATAATGCGGTACTTCCCTGAAATACCACAATCAGGAAGATACTGCATTATGGTCAATAGATGGCGTTGTCGATCATAGAAAATAAAAATAGTAGACACAATATGGGAATTGTTTATGACAGCTGTGTGTGAATGCTTAGGGTTTTATAAATCAGTTTTTTCATAAATAGACCCTTAAGCGTTTCAAAGTGTTTGTAAAGCCAAAGCTTTTATTCTTTCAAGTGGAATAGGCAACGATTGCCTATGTCATGCCACATCCTCCATTTCATCCAATCACAGAACACTTTGCATTCATTCAAAAAAAATACAAAACATTATCGGAATGGTGCCTGTGCCAGGCGGCCAACCTCCTGTGTTAACAATGCAGCAGGGCAGCCACTTGGCACTGTGACCCGGAAGAAAGTTCATTGGAGTACCGGTGCCTACTTTAGTGATTTTCTAACTCCTAGAGGGGATTCCATGGGTATGGTACATACATGGTTACACTGATCCAAAATGGAACAATGTAACTACTATACAATATCCTGGGGATAGGATACATACAGTATTCCTGGGATATGATACATACAATATTCCCTGGTTAATGATGCATACAATATTCCAGGGATACAATACATACAATATTATCAGGATACATTTTATATAATATTGCTGGTATACAATATATACAATATTCCTTTAATATGATACATTACAATATTACCAGAATATGATGTATACAACAATCCAAAGATAAGATACATACAATATTCCCGGGATAAGATATATACAATATTCCGGGATATGATACATTCAATATTCCCGAGATATGATACAAACAATATTCCCGGGATATGATACATACAATATTCCTGGGATAAGATACATACAATATTCCTGGGATATGATACATACAATATGATGGGATAAGATACATACAATATTCCTGGGATAAGATATATACAATATTCCCAGGATAAGATACATACAATATTCCGGGATATGATACATACAATATTCCGGGATAAGATACATACAATATTCCCGGGATAAGATACATACAATATTCCCGGGATATGATACATTCAATATTCCAGGGATATGATACATACAATATTCCTAGGGGATAAGATACATACAATATTCCAGGGATAAGATACATACAATATTCCAGGGATAAGATACATACAATATTCCAGGGATAAGATACATACAATATTCCGGGATAAGATACATACAATATTCCAGGGATAGATACATACAATATTCCAGGGGATATGATACATACAATATTCTAGGGATATGATACATACAATATTCCGGATAAAGATACATACAATATTCGGGATAAGATACATACAATATTCCCGGGATAAGATACATACATATTCCCAGGATAAGATACATACAATATTCCAGGGATATGATACATACAATATTCCAAGGATAAGATACATACAATATTCCAGGGATATGATACATACAATATTCCAGGGATAAGATACATACAGTATTCTGGGATAAGATACATACAATATTCCCGGGATAAGATACATACAATATTCCCGGGATAAGATACATACAATATTCCGGGGATAAGATACATACAATATTCCAGGGATATGATACATACAATATTCATGGGGATAAGATACATACAATATTCCCGGGATAAGATACATACAAAAATTCCCAGGATAAGATACATACAATATTCCAGGGATATGATACATACAATATTCCAGGGATATGATACATACAATATTCCAGGGATAGAGATACATACAATTCCAGGGATATGATACATACAATATTCCAGGGATAAGATACATACAATATTCCTGGGATAATGATACATACAATATTCCCGGATAAGATACATACAGTATTCTGGGATAAGATACATACAATATTCCGGGATAAGATACATACATATTCCTGGAATAATATACATACAAGTATGGCCGGGAAATTGTTGGCAGAAACCCTTGACATACAATATTCCTGAAAAAACAATACATTCACACAAAAAAGGTATGCTATTAACACATGTTTTGCTATACACATGTTTAATTCCCATTTGTATGTATTGGAACACAATATCAAACAGGGCAGAAAAGCAAATATTCTGAACATAATGTCACACAAAACCCAAAATCTGGGCTGGACAAAAGTATTTGGCCACCCTTAACTTAATATTTCCAGGGTTGCACACTACCTTTGGATAAAACATAACAAATTCAGTGATATTCTTTTATACAATTCAATAAGCCTTCTGACACCTCTCACCGGAATTTTGGACCACGGGATTCCTTTGCAAACAGCACCAGGTCTTCTTATTGGAAAGGATACTACTTTCCAACAGCTAAATTTTAAGATCTCTCCACAGGTGTTCAATGGGATTTAGATCTGGGCTCATTGCTGGCCACTTCAGAACTCTCCCGCGCTTCTTATGCCATCCATTTCTGAGTGCAGACTTTTTGACGTATGTTTGGGGCTACATTGTCCTGCTGGAAGACCCAGTACAATATTCTTGGAAAAAACCCAGCTAATTCTGACACTGGGATAACAGTGCGACCCAAAATCCTTTGGTAATCCTCAGATTTTCATGATGCCTTGCAACAGTCAAGGCACCCAGTGCCATACAGCAAAACAACCCCAAAACATCATTGAATACATACACCATATTTTACGTAGGTACTGTGTTTTGTTCTTTGTAGGCCTCATTCCGTTTTCGTGGTAAACAGATAGAATGATGTGCAATTTACCGAAAAGCTCTATCTTGGTCTCATCTGTCCATCAAAGATTTTCCCAGAAGGCTTTTGGCTTATAAGTTACATATTGGCAAACTGAGTACATGACTTTTTTATGGGATATGTGTCAGCAGTGGGGTCCTCCTGGGTCATTCCTGCCACTAGGTTTCATTTCATTTAAATGTCGACGGATAGTTCGCGCTGATGGGATGATGCTCCTGAGATATTGCAGCAGGGATAAAGCTACTTGAATGTTTTGGAACATGTATTCCAAAGTTGCTTATCCATACATACGGATTTCTGCGTTGCAATCTGTTTCATCATTTTCCTATCCGTCCACGACAGGGAGATAGCATACAGTCATTGGGTTGCAAACTTCTTGATAATGGTTGCGCACTGTGGACAAAGGAAAAATCTAGTTCTCTGGAGATGGAACTTGTAACCTTGAGATTGATGATATTTTGCACAATTTTGGTTAAGATCCTCAGACAGTTCTCGTCTCCTCTTTCCTGTTGTCCATGCTTAGTGTACATACACAATTCAAAGGTAAGTGATACATCTCACTTTTATCTGCTTTCAGGTGTAAGATACATTCAATATTGGCCGGGATAAGTTCTGTCTTGCCCCATACTATATACAGGGCATCACATACTTGTACAACTATTTATATCCCCAGTTGTGATAAGGATACATACAATACTTTTGTCCAGCCCCATTTTTGGAGGTTTGATGATACATTACAATTTCTTTCCTGGGATAAGATACATACAATATTCCGGACAAAGGGATACAACAATATTATAGCCAGGATGTGTATAATACAATATTCCGGGATAAGAACATACATGATATTCCGGGATTAAGATACATACAATATTCCCGGGAAGTTACATACAATATTTCAGGGAGGGATAAGATACATACAATATTCCTGGGATAAGATACATACAATATTCCGGGATAAGATACATACAATATTTCCTGGGATAAGATACATACAATATTCCGGGATAAGATACATACAATATTCCGGGATAAGATACATACAAATATTCCGGGATAAGATACATACAATATTCCGGGATAAGATACATACAATTCCGGGATAAAGATACATACAATATTCCGGGATAAGATACATACAATATTCCGGGATAAGATACATACAATATTCCGGGATAAGATACATACAATATTCCGGGATAAGATACATACAATATTCGGGATAAGATACATACAATATTCCGGATAATAAGATACATACAATATTCCCGGGATAAGATACATACAATATTCCCGGGATAAGATACATACAATATTCCGGGATAAGATACATACAATATTCCCGGGATAAGATACATACAATATTCCAGGGATAAGATACATACAATATTCCGGGATAAGATACATACAATATTCCGGGATATGATACATACAATATTCCAGGGATATGATACATACAATATTCCCGGGATATGATACATACAATATTCCGGGATAAGATACATACAATATTCCGGGATAAGATACATACAATATTCCTGGGATAAGATACATACAATATTCCGGGATAAGATACATACAATATTCCAGGGATAAGATACATACAATATTCCGGGATAAGATACATACAATATTCCGGGATAAGATACATACAATATTCCGGGGATAAGATACATACAATATT